AGTGGTGGAGGAGGATAGATTAATTCTGATACTACACGGTAGAGCTGTATGGCATATAACAAAAATATAGTACACAGAGGGTTTGGCACTATCTGAAGTTGTAGGCATCTACCTGGACTCTGTCCTCCATAGATGAGGGGGTCACCATTGTATGGGGTTTGGCCAGTTTTTTGAAGGGGGTTTTACTATAACGTACCATGTAGAAATGAGGAGGAAAACAACCCTTTTTTGGTACCATCTTTCTGTTTTGTTCACTCAGGTCATTTGGGGATAAAGAAAGACTGCTAACATTGATTAGTGATGTCTGTCTGAGCTCAGGTTTGGAGGCAAAGCAAATACACAATTTCTTGGCACCAATCTTGTTTGCAGATAGAAAGTGCCCACACAGATTCCAATACCAGCCTCACAGTGGTGCGGCTGCGGGACAGGCTTTACATATCTAACAATTCTCAATATAGATATTTTCCAAACGAGGAAATGAAGTCTCACAAACGTTAAGCGATAGCTAAGATCAGGATGTTGGAGAAGTTCAAGGTCAGACAGCCTCTTTCCAGAGCCCAGGCTTTCAGCCTCAGGCTGCCCATCTCTTCCTTGCTGATGCTGTGCCTGCTGCCCCAGAGCTGATGTAAGACTCAGCTGTTTCAGAAGCAAACACCACCATGTGGGTGCTGGGAATGGCGCCCTGGTCCTCTAAAGAACAGCCAGTGCTCTTTACCGCTGAGCCATCTCTCCAGCTCTGAGATGTAATTTTCATAATGGCTAAAAGGGACTTAGGTGTTCCATTTACTTTGTTCACTAACTTAACAAATCTTACTGAACACCTCTCTGTGTCACTGTATGCTTAGATAATGTGATGGTGAACTCTAGGAGGTCCTTCCGAGTTTACTGTCTACTGAGATCTCTGGTCTTTCTTTGTCCAAGCAGTAACATAAATGTTAGTGCAGTCCTGGTGAGTAAGGCAGAGGAAAGAGAATCAGTCCAAGATTTCCCAGTGGCTGTAGTAGAGAGAGAAGAGACCTGGTCGCCAGCCCTCTCAGGCTGCTGATGGCCATGAGAAAGCATTCGACTCCAGCCTCGGAGTGATGGGGTGCCAGGGGAGGTGGGGAAGTGTGCTTAATCTTGGTGGTTAATTTGATTGGATTAAGAAATGGCTGGAAGGTCCATAAGGCATGCCTCTGGGTGTGTCTGTGAGGGTATTCCACAGACAGTTAACAAAGGGTGCGGGAAATCTTCCCTGAGTGTGTGTATGTGTGTGTGTGTGTGTGTATGTGTGTGTGTGTGTGTGTGTGTGTGTGTCTCCTGTATATGGGGGGGGGCTTTTTTGGGAAAATGAAAGAGGAAACGAGT